GAAATCATGAAAAAATAAACCATTTAAGCACGTTCAGAATTGAATGTTGTTGATCAATAAAACGATCTATCATATCTATACAACGGATGTAGTTGCCAATTTCTCGTCTTCGTCGGCCTCGCCACATAATTACATCCATATTTCATATAAACAATGGACTGTACCAATATTCTATAAGCAACTTTTTTTCTCTCAAGAAAATAATAACCTATTAAATAACCCAAATGGCCTAATTGGCTAATAGGCTAATTTGGTAAAAATGCAGGTTCTTATACGGGGGGGGGGGGTTACTCTATAGCGAAATATAGTCACCTCTATACCCCATAGCGGATATATTACTAATTTCACCAACCTGAAAAACACTAAAAATTTATGCTGTTATAGCACAGAAGATTGGAATTGAACGAACTGTAACACCATGGCATATTGGATTATATTGCGACAACAAATTTTTGCAAATAGCAATTTAATGAACCAACAAGTAACAAGTGCACCCATTCTGCACCTAATTCAAACAAAAGAGCATCTGCTTCTGTATAGCTTATTCCGTTTCTATTTTAAAATTAGCCGATATCTCGCGCTATCGCGAGATAGTCCGAGATTCGCAAGAATTGGCGGCGGTAATCAAAACTTGAATCGTACATGTTTTGGAGAATATATAGCTAAGTACGAAGGTTCTAAGAAATGTTCTAAGAAGGTTCTAAGATTGCCTGCAGATGACTTAGATTTCCTGGACTATCTAGACAGTTGCCGGTACTGAAGCAATAACAGTAAGGGGTAAAAGTGAGGGCGAACACGAGACTGGTTCAAAATTGTTTTAGAAATAAAGGCTTTAACTATATATATATATATATCGCTTTTCTACATATGATCTGTAATTTCACATAATATAGCGTCACGAGAACAGCTCTTAATTGCCTAGTCTCATATATTCATCAATCGGAAAACCCATTCGGCTCCCTCCGTCATTCCTAGAATCCGCTAATTCTATTGAATGGTCCGAGGGTTCCCGATTGATATATTCATAAACTCTGTCATTCATCAGCCAGCTGGGTACGTACGCGCCTGCGTGACGTCAGCCAGCTCGCGCAGCGCCAGCCAATCGGAGCGCCGATTTGCTGCTCGATTTCCAGCTAGTCGACACAGTTGAGAGAGCCGCTTCCTGATACTGTTCCAAGGACCCCGTATAAAAGCGAGCTGTCGCAGGGGGCTGACTCATTGCTCGCAGCATTGATAGTCACACTGCGCTAGCCCGTACGAGAGAGATCCGCCGATATACTATACACATACAAGCACGCAAACGTGAGCGTCGATAGTTAGATCTACGGAGCGTGGCATCTGTTCGACCAGGTTGTGAAGTCCAGCGCGTCAGCACTAAGTGAAGGTAAGTGTATGTAGTTGTCGCTATAACGTGCGTGTCCTCTTACTGGTGCTACCTGCCACGATGTGTTATTTCAGCGCACGTGTCCTGGGATCGGCAGTGTATAATGGCAAGTTTGTCATTATACACTCCTGATGGTGTGGATCTATAGTGTTGTTTCATTCAGCGCTGTCTTACCTAACTGCTCCTTCACGGAATTCGTGTCTACTCTCTCTCTCTCAACTAACGGCCTGATGAGGAGATGCTACGAAAGATCTCCGATAAAGGCAGATCTATGCTACGAATGCATATACGCACGCAAGCACGTGCACGCGCGCACGCTGATTAAAGTCGTTTGTAGTGCTATGTAACACGCGATGTATTGCTGTGTGAAGCTTAGATACAATGATGTAACCCAAACACAGGATCCCCTATCCTGTGTTTGGGTTACATTATTGTATCTATGTGAAGCTGTGAGCTGTACATATAGTGATATATATGTCCTGACGGTCCATATCATAGTTTGATTTGTGCTATTGTTGTAGACAACACACACACACACACACACACACACACACACACACACACACACACACACACACACACGCGCACACACACACACACGACA